CTTTCGTCCTTCCTCTCTCTCTCTCTCTCTCTCTCTCTCTCTCGCGTAGATTCAATACGTCGTCGGACTCGTCGTGTTGTCCCAATGAAGAACGAGTCAGCCCTAGTCGAAAGGGTCTTACGGGGGCAGCCCACCAACGCGAAGAGCAACTTTATTAATAAGCTCCTCTCCGACATTCAGTTCGACCTAGTAGCGTCGAGGGGTAATGGCGGTAGCGCTTGTAGGGGTAACTGTGGGGAGAGGACTCCAGCGGTAAGCAGGAGAGAGAAACAGAAAGATGGAATGAGAGACGTAGCATGGCCGCCTCGTCGGATAAGCCCGAAGAAACTAGTAAGCGGGAGCGCCGACTGCAGTCATACCATATGGTGCCCCGAGGAAGAGTAATGTTCTGTCTGAGTTGAGTGCAGTTGGCGCCCGTGTGCGCGATCGACGCGAGATGGGCGGCAGGCAGGCAGGCAAGCAAGCAAGCAAGCAAGTAGAAGAAGTAACTTCTTTCTGTCAAAGGGGAAGCGATGACGAGGGGTATTGGCGGCGTAGCGGACCGATCTCGTGGGCGCCTTTAGCCTGGCGTCTGGCGCCAGCCGTAGAGGGCTGGCAAGCGAGGCTTTCAGCCCGACGAGGTGATGTTGGAGAAAGATCAAACTCTGGAGATAAGAAGCGAATAACTACTCAAGAGCATAAGTTATTGGTTGGTCGGCTGCGGTCAAGCTAAGTCAGGCCGAACTGCATTTCCTGTTGTAAACCCAAAGCGCGCCTCAGGTCAGTGTTGAGGAGGCGCTGTGCGCCCACTTAGCTTTTTGGCATCCTCGTCGGTACTACAACAATGGTAACTTATTATTACTGTGGCTGCTGTTGTTACTTAGAAGATGGTCACGGTTTCTTGCCTTCTTAAAGGGAACTCCGCCATTTCGTGTAGTAGTTATAGCTATACACAAAAGAAAGGCGAAGGACACTGAATGGAATGGCAGGTTATAACGGCGTTGACACAACAACAGATCATTTCGGCTGGCCACGACTTGTCATTCTGTATCGTGAAGAGTTCTACATCCACAAACGTAGAAACAAGATTTCGGTGTATCACACCGTGTGTTAAAACGCATCGGCCAACGAGCACCATAGAAGGCCATGATCACAATGTACCTGATTACGACTGAAGTATTAGTTAAGAGTCAGGCGACTCTGTCAATGCTGACGGCTTCCTATAAAGGAAAATGTCTTGACAGTGGATTCCCTAAACTTTCAGAAAATAACATATCTAACTAAAATCTGTCATTGAACTGGAATTTTGCAGAAAGTGTCCCCACAAAACTTCAATTTGAACATTATGATCAACCGTATGCGGTCCAATAATTCGAATCGACTAGGTTGTCTGTCCTTTGCAATTTGATCGATGGATGCGTCTCTTCAACCTCAACCGCTGCGCGTTTGTCATTGCGAGTCGCCTTTGAGTCGTAGGGAACCCTGGATCAACAACAACTTCTTATTTTTTCATTCGTTCAGTAAAACTATCTCACTCGTCCCACCTTCATGTCTTCACGCTTCAAGTTCCCGCACTCGCAAAAGCTGTAATTGTATTTGGCCATTTGAACCCCCTCGTCGACTACTGGCCTCCTATTGTACTAGCACTACTATAACGATTTTGGATTCCTTGCTGTCTCGGCCATTGGGACAGCAGCCAAAGGAGCAATCCTGCCCCGTGCCAGGGCGGGGGGGATGCGTTCGAGAGAGGGATAAAATCGCGCTCGTCCTGTTATCCTGAATCTAAAACCAAACTTCCACCAAACGTTCGAACACTGCTACACAACGGACCTGAAGCGATCGCAAGGATAGGAAGGACGGGAAAAAAGTAACATAACGGCGCTCTCGAGGCTATTTTTGTGACGTCGAAAAAGGCTGGTAAAATGGCGAAAAACACTGGACATTCAATTTCCCCCTTCTCTCTCTTATAGCAAAGTAGCTGGTTTGAAATTTCTCTATTTCTCCAGCTAACCCATCTTCCGCAACGCTAGTTGCAGGTAAGGATCTATTTAGTCAGTCACGAACGATGCCAGGTTACAAAGAAGTGCATGAGGGTGCCGACAATATAATCCCGTTATCCCTCACGCAAGAGATGACAAAAAGCTAGAAGTTTGAGTAGATATTCGGTAACACCTCTATTTCCTTTTCGAAAAAATCGTCTAGCAGACGAACAGGATTGTCCTTGTCGAACAATGTTGGTCTGTTTGTGTAATACTGAATCTGTTCAATGCCCAACACGTTTTATGAAACTGAATTTTCTTTGAAGTTGCAGAAGTTCACGTGGATTTTTCTATTTCCCGTATAAGCAGAGTGTAAGTAAGCAATGATATTCCTTATCTCCTCTTTTCCTTTAGCGTGTCTGAGCTTCAATCATTTAATTTGCATGCTAGGTCAGGCCGTCCGGTACACGGTGTATCAACGATTCCTATGGCTAATAAATATGATCGATAGATATCGAGCAGTAGAACGAATCAGTAGAAAAGAATACGATACTGCGTATGCAAACATGCTAAGATACATACTCTGCATGAATGCAAGGCGAGCAAGCCATGGGCGGAGAACTCTAAGTGGGGTAGTTGCGTTAACTTTCGCCTCGTTGTTGCAATAATATACGTTGCGTTGCAACGAAGCACAATTTGTGGGCGTGCTTGATTTTTTTTTTCAACCATTTACCCTCTTTGTTGAGCTAAACAGCGATTATATGTCTTGTATTTGTTGTTCTAATGACAATAAGGGGTTCCCATAGCGAGCGGGTGATTAGCATTGGATCTGCACGCGAGTCCACGAGATGTGATAACCAATGAGCAAACTAATCAGAGCATGGAGGGAATCCGCTGTTCTAGTTTTGTTTTATCATGTTTCACTAATCGGGAAGACTAAATGTAGAAAGAAGGCAACTATAATCGAGCGTTCCGGATTTCCGTTTTAGCACCGCAATCATAATGGTATAGCAGGGAACTTACCGAGAGGATGTGGTATTATGCCTACGGCACACTATCTATTCTCAAATGCACATTAACCCGACACTAACTGAAACAGCAAACAACAATTCTATGGCGTCAACAACAGTTAGAATATATGATATGTAGAAATCTTCGAATGGTACTGCGACTAGCATGGACGGTGAAAATGTGACCGATAATGGTTGTCTGAAAGAAAAGAAATGGCTTGAATCTTGGTAAACAATGAACACCTCATAATGTCGTTTGTTCTTACTGCTCTTATCGTTCTCGTTAAGTGCTATATAAGAACGCGCCCCTACAAAGGCGAAAAACGCGAACGTGCTATAATAAGCATGTACATACTAGGCAACCTGGCTAAAAGCTCTAACTGAGGTGTTATTAGATTGATTGCAAGGATTAGTACACCAGTGATGTCCTGATATGGCAAACTAGGGTGAAGCTTGCAGTAGTTATCGTCTTGTTTTTTCCGAATTTGTTTTTGCTGAGAAGGGCAGCGAACTGCGAATCTTGGTGAAACTATTGAAATAAATGATGTTATAGTACATTCAGGCTTGTGTTTACCGTTTGTCCTGAAATCAGCCATCCTAGGAAATGGAAGATCGAACGATGACGATGTTGAGGATGGATGACAAATCGAAGTAGTCTCAACGTCGGCTTGAAGCGATCAAACGTTGCCCTCTCTCGTTTTCTCTCTCCGTAGGTAGGTAGGTAAGTGGGGCAGTCAGACAAAACTTCGGGCAGTCGATCTGCGTTTCTCTCTCTAGCTGTTTTTCTGCATTCGGTCACATAGCAGTAAATTGTTACTCTTCAACTATCGGCTTCTTTGCTCATCTGATGTTTCCCAACTCGGTCACTCATGCTATTACGAGACTGGTGGCCCCGTTAAAGCATCGAATGGTCGGCACCCCGCTTGTCTGCTATCGCAAGGAGCCTTCCAATGTGCCGATCCCATATTTCCCCACTGCTGCCCAACAAAAAGAAAAGGAAGAACTTCAACTTCGGCTTAAGCAACGGGCCAGGAACGTGCGCTAGCCAGCCAAATAACATCGGGCTAGAACAGAAACTCGAACTCAAGCTCGAGTCAGTAAGGGATATTCGCTTTCGTTTGGCTAAACTCGAAGGTGCAAGCTGAACTGTTGACTATCAGAAGCTCATTTGGGGAGCAGGCGCCGATTTTAAATAAAGCACTGGCTGGCTGGATGTCTTAGCGCTGGCTCGTCTATCTCTCTATTCGCCCTCCTCCGCCAGTTACCTCCTTCTACTCCGTTGCCACTCATCGTCAGTGACGCTGCCGTTGACTATGGCATTTTACCGAGGATCGGGGTAGCCACCGGCGCGGCGCTATATTGGAACAGTGGCCATTTGTCACGCGGGCTACTTTCTTTCTTTCGCTGCTGCTGCTTACTCCTTTTCGTAACGCTTGTTCTTTCTTTTCCTGCTCCCAGATGCCCCTTTTACATTGTCCCAACGAAGCTTGCCCCTTCCCCACCATTCCGCTACTTCTCTGTTCGTCCCTCATCCAGAGCCGAGCAGATGTTGAGATTTATTCGTTCCTCATATGAATATGCGGTACGGACACGGTATGCAAACACTCCTAATCGGTTGCTGCTACAGCTGCAGGCCAACTCAGACTAGCTAACTTTGACGGTGGCCTCTAGAAAAAAGCGGGTACGAGCAACTGTGCCCGGCAGAAGGTTATGAGAAAGAAATTTAATTGAATCGTGGTTACTCTCCTCGTCTATTATTCGTGTATTTGATTGCTGCACATCAAACTCATGTTACAAAGTTACAAGCGAAAAGAACAAAAAAAGAAGACTTTTATATATTATAGGCGAATCGACAACATTTTTCTCATCAAGTAGATAGATATATCTAATCTGTGCTTTTTTTTTTTGTAGCTTGCCCTTTCAATGTCCGGTAACTAACCAACGGTCTCTATTTGTTTTGCTCTTCTGCTGTTTCTGTGCTTTTCTCTGTTCGTGTCTTTGTTGTTGTATCTTGACGTATGTCCGATTACAGGTACGTACTTAAGCGATGTCCATCTAGGTTTCAATTCGCTGCCACTGGGTAAGCATTTGTCTTCTGCTTTTCACTCGGCGGGGTCCCGGGCGGCGCGGGGGGTGTCGACGAATCCGTCAAGGGCTCAGCAGCAGCAGCAGCAGCAGCCCCCTCGCCACAGGGCCCCCGCCCACTTACACGCATCTTCTTCTTGTTCTTCCGCCTCTTGTTTTTGTATCTCTGATTCAGCCACCTTATCACTAGCATCCAATTACAATTCAAACAGCAATTCTTGCTTTGCACCAAGTGGTGCCTGTTCTACGAGCGCCACCAGTCCGATGGTGGTGCCCCCGCATCATCATCACCATTATCATCATTCTATGCGGTCTTCGCTAGCATTGAGTCCGCTCTCCTCGTCCGCACTCTCGCTCTCGGCCACAAGCACCGTTGCTGCCACGTCACATTACACCAATTACCCCCCACGGCTCACAACACCCCCGCCGCCACCGCCACCAACACCGCTACCACGATGGGGATAAGCCAGCATCCATCGACGGTGGCGGTAGCGGAGGCGGGGGCGGCCGCAGCAGTAGCTTTCCTTCCTCCTCCTCTTCTCTGGCATCTCCTTCCGGCCAAGGGTTGCCGCCAACGGCCAGCCCATGCTATTCTGCACCAACACCATCACCTTGTTCGTTCTGTCGATATGGGGGGGTGTCCGTTTAATTCCACTCAATTGGGTGCTGCTACCTACCATTCGTACTTTTACCGGCTGGGGGCCCTCACTGGGGGTAGCGATCCCTACTATCACTCAACGCACGCGACGGCTGGTACCGCGGCCATACGGTCCGTGCTCCTCGAGCGTCGTTTTGACTAGACCGCGGTTCACTGTCACTACTATTACAACGACAACAACAGCAACAACAACAACAACAACAGCAACAGCAGCAGCAGAAGCAGCAGCAGGCCCCCCCGCGCGAGGCGACATCAGTGGCTCCGCCGGTTACCGCCCGGGACGCCATGACGCCGCCGCCCTCACCGGTCGTGCGCATCTTGCTAGGCACGGCCGCTTCACTCACGACATCGTCGTTCTTGTCGTTGGTTGCCGCCAGTGCGGTCATTGGCGCAACATCTTCACTTCTCATCTGCCGCAATTGTTGCGGGAAAAGATCTGGCAACAGCGGCTTCCACAGCGACGGTTGTGTCTCTGACCCTAGCAGCGTCGTTTTCATCGTTGGCGGCGAGTTCTTCGGTTTCGGTTGTTAGGAGCTACGCGAGTTCGACAGTAACTTCGGGTACCCCCAACTGCTCGCTCAGCGCCTGCATCTACATCTGCCTTTTCTCTACACAGCGGCGTCAGCACCAATTCAACAGCAGGCTCCGAATAGCAACGGCACCGACTCCGGGGCGGCACTACAACGGCGGCGCATCATTTGTAAGAAACATCAAAAAAACAGAGAAATTACAGCTGATAAGAAAGATCAACTGTAAAGCGCAGCTTCCTCCCCCTGACCTTCTGTCTCTTGGCCATTCAGAATTGTAATAGATGCATTTTATTTGATCATTTGGTTAACACATAGATTTGGTTAATCCCAGGTAGACATCTCTGTCGTTAAGTTGAGCTGGAACTCGAAGAATGATCTGTTCTTTGACTTCTATACGTAGCGTGAATCTGGCTACTCGAATAATTGGTATAGATTTGGTATGTGACCTCGTAATCGAACGCATTATAGAATTATCCTTTCACGCATCGACTCTGTATTTGAGATATTAAACTATCTGTTCTAGGACAATTTTCAATCGATTGCCTATTCAAGTTGGGTCTTCACTTTGCCTCAGGATGATGAGCAGGGCGGCAGCGCGTATAGGATTCGCACAGTGGGCACAGTTTCTCAATCGTTTATAGTAGAAATTTCCTTCGCCGTCTATTAGTGGCACTTTTGTTTCTGTCTACTCCACGATTCACGGCCATTTTTTGCGCCCATCTTCAGCAGCAACCAGCAGACTAACTGCCATTATGAAATTATTATATAATTAGTACATCATAAATGCACCTGATTATCAGTAGGTGTTCGCTGCCTGAATGAAATCTACTGGTTTGCAGTATTTGATATTAAGAAGAAAGAAGAATAGCGCTTATTATCGATTTGTAATTTTGTTTATGCTGTGGCATAGAACATGTCTAGATCCGTGAAATTTTAGGCTTATATCTCATTTCTGCTGGCAAGACAGATACAGTTTTTGTGTGAATCTGTCTAGAAACGGTGAATCACTTGTTGGGTGGCTACCTACATAGCTAGCATAGTTAGGCTAGACGCAGATCAGCCGTAGCCGGTTTTTGACGGATTTTTCACCCAACCATAACAGACGTCGTTGTTCGAGTCTTGTCCATAGAGTTGGTTTGTTATTAGTGGTACAGGATATGTGGTTTGCACACCCCCCCCCCCCCCACAAGCGAGTTTATCGCTGCTCTTATCTCTGTGATCGGGTCTAGGAGGTCTGCGAAAAGTGATGAGAAGACAAAAGAGTCTAGGCCATTAGGCCGTAGCTCAGAGTCCCAATGGTTGAATAAGAATGGCGCGATCAAATGGAAGGGTAGGATGTACGCAAGTCGGTGAATGTGTGCGACCCTATGTGAGGGCCGTCATCAAAAAGAGGAATAAAGGATAACAAGTATAAGGCAAGGCTGCAGTGATTGAATCTGGGAGACACCGACCATCCTCCATGCTGACGAATCTGCTCGTGCTACAAGACCAGTCGCAGGCCTCGGACGACCAAATACTTAGACTACCCCTTTGTTCCTGAGGAGGAGAAGGAAGTGGGAAATGGTAGCGATATAGGCGAGTCGGCCCAATGGATTTTTTGTTAAATGTTAACACTTCATTTGAGACTGTGGATCCGAAATGCTTTTTCTTCCCCTTCTTCTCATGCGGGAACGAACGGAGGCTGTCGGGGTGTCTCCCAGCCACGCCCGAGGTGCAGTAAAATACTAGGCGCCTTATGACTCGACGCCTGCGGGACACGACGGTTAACAGTAGGTGGCTTAGCCTCACCCAACCTCGGCAAACTCCAGCTAGCGTTCGGCTACGCTATCTGTATGTGTTGCCGAGAAGATGTAACGTCTACCTCATTTAGCCGTCGGAAAGATCTCGGAATGAAAGAATATCACTAGCGTCATTGTTTAACGAGAAAGGAATGTGCATTCAGAGAGGATACAGGCTGCGTTTGCATATCTTTTAGAGCGATTGTCGAGATCGCAAGTGACTGAAGGAGCGAGCAGAAAAAAGAGCGCGTTTCTCTGCCCGTATGAGGTCGAATGTCATAGGTTGAGCGGTTTTTGCTGCTGTTATGGAGATGGGCGCTCTTGAAGAATGGCCGTGTAGCAATTTAGCGGAAGCAGCACAACGACAGATATCGCACCTTTACGACCGCTTGTGCATCACAACCCATCAACAACTTCGAAGGTGTGGGAGAAAGTTATATAGACTAGATGTTGCGGTTTTGGCGTAGTAATTTAGCATTATTAAGTTTAGCGAAAACCGTCAAATGGGTATATGCGATGCGTGTTACCAGCGTTTTGCCCCCTTACCGAAATGGCACGCTGTTGCCCATCGGTTGGTTGGAGCAGACGGCCTGCTGATCAAGCGATCACAACGCGAAAAATCTCTGCAAGGGCAATCAGCTTATCCCGTTGAATCACACGGACTGAGGCACCAACCCTCATGAAATGGTTCACGGGGAGGCCGAGTTAGACGAAAAAGTAGGGAGACGAAACGACGATGTCGCCGAACAACCGCTAGACGATGCGAAACTGACAACTTTTTTGAAGCGCATCTCCCGCCGCTTGCCGTCAAACTGATAAAAAAAGAAGAGCTTGGTCGTGATGATCAGGAAGCAGAAATTAAACTTGGACCACGAAGGGTCGACGGTTCGTCTGAGAGGGGCAGAAATCAGTGTGGGCTGTTCATCCTATGCCTAGTAAGGAAAAGTAGGGACATTACTACAGAGTTTAGAAGAATGACATACCCTTATCACATACAGAAGGAGCTGCTGCACTGAGGCGAGCTTCCATAGATAGCCATACTGTTAGAAGATTTCCTTCCCGACAACAGATTTTGCTCGTTCGTGCTTCTTGCTTCCGTTAGCAGTAGCACCAGGAGACAGAATGAAGCTACGTCACAATACATTCATTGTCGCTGTAATCGCAGCAGACCGAGCCCATGCTTGTTAGTGTAAACCTGGGATTTTCATGCTCATGTGTGGCCACAACCCAGTGCACTTCGCTGCTGTCACGCACACAAGTGGGCCGCCAATGTTAAGCCTTTACTTGAAGAGCTCTAACGGCTAATTGGCCATACAGATATTTCGGTGCTTCGGTGACTTCGTGAGAGGAACGGTGCCGCGAGTTACGCAGGGTGGGTGGGGTTTTGCTTCTTAATATTCAACGTTGAAAAAGACAACGCAGTTAAGGGCCGTCTTTATAGAATAAGAATCACGAGCTTGAGAGATAAGTCGTTCAACTAGGCCAAAGCCAACTAGGAAGCGAAACTGAGGTGAGAAAAGCATGAAATATTCAGAAAAGAACAAAGGATGTAACTGCGTTTTTGACGGCGAAAAAATGGGGGTTAGTGAAAGTTTCGCCTTTAGGCAACTCACTAAAGTAACCACGGTGGAAACCTTGCAGGGATAGTAAATATGAGGGTAAGAGTAGTTTGGTTAAGTAGCAGAACAGCTTTGCTTGCTTTGGGATGTAGTAATGTAAATATTATACGAAATGGCAGCAAACTAAGAAATAAAGCCGTATCAATTACAGTTAGTTTGACACTTCGGTCCTACCTACGTGTTCATGAGGCTCTGTGAGAACACCTGTTCATGGGATTCGGCCTTCACTCAAACTAAACGCATACATATCTATGCGATGTAGTTTAGCTAAGCTAACTAAGACCTAATACTGATCTGACGATTGACATTACTATTATTGGAGTAGATGTACGCAAAACGTGTGATCGGCTAATAAACCCGACTTCATTTGCCGTCCATCGATCTCTGGTATCAATCAACCTCTATCGGCTTCAGTATTTTGCTCGCTGTATACACTGGGCTGTACAGTTCTAGCCGGTTCCGCTACTAGTGCGTTCCCTTTTCGCTAGCCTCTAAAATTAAATCGTAATTAAGCATTCAGGCGCTAATAATACGAGTTTTTTTTCCTATTTACGTCTGCTGTGAATCCGAGCGCTACATTTGGTTTAACTTCATTGGTCCCTCCTCTGCCAATGCCCTTTCCAGTCAGCCAGTTACCGTTCAAATGTGCCATATCGAGAAGACAGGTCTGGCTGATCGTTCCGGTTCCCCTGCTCGCCCATACCCTCTTGCCATCGCGTTCCACTCCTAGATACTCAATTCAAGCAAGTCAGTCCTTCATCTAGTTTGCCCTTATCGTGTGTCATGTGCTGGGCCACCATCTCTTACGTCATGACCTATGCAGACCAAGTCACTTAAATCGGCAACCTTGATTATGCTAGATGAAGAGACATTTAAGAGTTTCGGGGCCAGGAAAGGGACAGAAGCTTCCCTTATGTGGCTTTAGGGTTTATAATACCAGAGCGAAGTGTGGGGGCACTTTTTGTGAGATTCGCACGAACGCGCATCCATCACGCAGCGTTTCGTATTTTTTAATCGCGACCGAGGGCAATTAATCTCTTTGGCTGGCCCCACACTGTTACAACTGCTTCTCTGTTCTTCGACAGCAGCTGCAGAAAGAATTGGAAGGATCAGATTGTTTAGGCTGCGAAATTTCGAGGGTGAGTGAAGCAGTATAATCGTTAAATTAAAATTGCCTAAGAGCTAACGTGGTACAAATAGTGAATATTCGGCACACTATAAACGTTTTTGCTGGTATGTCAATAGAAACAAATTCACGAATTCCAATAATTTGATTTCATGTTGGATTAGTTAAGGAGCATTCCCTGGACCCAACTCGGACAACAAAACAGATCACCATCATAAGCCTTCGGCCTCATTAACGGATAGAACGTGTCATAAATTAACAATCTAAATAACAGTTGTTCTTGTCGTTGTTAGTTAAACATTAAACATTTGAAGTACTACTACGCTTATAAAGATTTTAAACGGGTACCGAATTCATAATATTCTGCTCGAGCCAGCCAGAGCACTAGTTCTATTACCTTCGTTATCTACAGCAGTTCCCAATTAAGAAAAGATCTCGTGTATGTAGAACATAACTTGGATTAGTGTCGCCTTTTTAATTACTGGCAGCGTACAGTTAACGGAACCACAGCTTTGGGTTTATCGCCTGTCTAGCCATTGGACACATTTTACTAGGAAATTCATATTTTCCTAGCTAACGTTACTGCCTCACTTGGGATCTCGGTATAAGTGTGCTCTTAAGGGTACCTAGAGCATACAAAACATACTACATAATATCTATGCATACCTAATATGTGTTCGTAAAGTGATCATACACCCTGTATGAACTTTGCCCCGGATTCTCTCTTAAGTGTAGTGATAACTAATTCGAAAAAATGTCGCGCATATCCCGGTTGTGGCTCTGCGGGAGTTTTTATGCGAGCTCCCCGTTCCTGCTTCTTCTAATGAGGTAAACATATACGCATAGAGTACATATGGAGCAAAGAAAGAACCATGCACTCGACCTTCTGTGTTCTTATTTTGGCAGACTGAGGTACGGAACGTGCCATCAGCGCGACTAAGTCAGAACGTGTTGTTGTTATACTGTGCGTGCGCTGCGAAGGCCCCCGTACGGTTTGTCCTTTTTTGTTTTTCTTCCCTATCTACATACGATCCCTCGTTTCTCACTCGTTACAGGACAGTATTTTTCGTGCGCATTCCTTTTCGCTCTGTGCCTCCTTCTATTGCGGTCGACCTGTGCTCCCTTATTTGGTCCCGTTACCCCCAACTATTTTTGCTCAGAATCACTCTTCTTTGGGGCTTCATGACGAACAATCACATCTCTTGACGCCATGGGTACTAAAATGACGATAGAACTAAGCATCAACACTAAGAGAAGGGAACTCGAAATGAAGTTTCCGCTACCTACTGGCAATGTGTTTTCGATTCAAATGCTATTCTTCACTATAGCTTCCTGCCAAAGAAATCTATATATATATATATATATATATATATATATATATATATATAGGGGTAGCTACGAACACGAGCGGTTTCTCTCTGGCTACATGGGCCTGAGTAAGCCACAACAAATAACAAGGCCTTAAGATAGGGACCAATAGAAAGGAACGCGAGAGAAACAGAACGAAGTCGGCAGCTTTCCGCTCTCTATTCGCATTGCGCCAATAGATATGTTCCTTTGTTGACATTTCTGCCCGACTGACTGCGTCGTTTCTTGCATGAAGTGCGCGAGCTGCACCGTAG